AGGTCTTCATTGGCTTGCTTGGTAGAACCTTCTTGGCCTTTTGCTTGGATTGTTGAAGTATATTCAATCTGAACTCTCAGATTTGAGACTCTTAGCTTTGTGCAAACTATTGCATATTAGCCTTCTCTAAGCATTCAGCCTTTATACTCATCAAGTTCGGGTATTTATCAAACTCAATCACACAAGAGATTCTATTGCGTACTAAAGCTCAACCACAACTTTGATCGAATCGTCCAAGGGAAGCAAACTTGACGCAAGCATTCGAGGGAGACATTCTATCGCTACCGAAGAACCCACGTTAAACAAGAAGAGCATTCTCTTCGCCTCTGTTGTAATCTGATTCCTGACTTGTAATAAGCTATTTTTATCAATAAAAATCTTCTTTGGAGAATCATTTTTACACCAAACAAAAGATGACGACCACAGCGGGAGGAATTGTTTCTTCAACTGAAATGGTGGTGGCGTAATTCGACGAAGTTGCGGAGGGGACGACAGTCGAGTCCCTTGTGATTGAGTTCAACCAAGCTAAGTACCAGGAGTACTTATCTTCTTCCTTCTCTAGCGGTAAAGCTTCTCGTCGATACCGTAGAGGTGTCACAGCGGCGGGTCAGCCCAAAGTGCCTGAGGCAGCCATGCCCAAGAGCTCTACCCGAGCAACAGCAGAGGGTTCTATCTTCCCCTCTCCAAAAGAGCCAAATGGCGATGATGACAAGCTCTCACCCGCTAAGAAGAACAAGCCGCTATCTCCTATGACGGCCTGAATTACTATTCAGGCCTGAAAAGAGCCAAGCAGGGACGTAAAGTTCCCAGTTAATTTTGACGGACTACGTCAATCAGGCGAGCCCACCTACTCAGGCGGGCTTTGCTCTGGCAGCAAAGTTCCCAAAACTAGCAAACTTGGCGTTTCAAGGGAGCCTAATATTTCAGGTGAGCCTCACTCCAGCAGTAAAGTTCCCCATTTGGGCGAGCTTGGCAAGACATGCGAGCACCCCAAGTCAGGAGGGCTTCGCTCTTCAAGACATCTGCCCAGATCAGGCTAGCTACCAAAATTAGACGAGCACCATGATTCAGGTGAGCTACGCCCTCAAACAGGTAAACTTCGCACATCATACGAGCTTCACGTCACAAGCAGAAGCCACCATTCAGGCGAACCCTAGCAGGCCCGTCTAAAAACATGCCTTGGCCAAAAAGGCAAAACAAAGACCAATCAAACAGGCGGACCTCGCCTGAATGAAACAGAAGCTGGAGCTCGCCAGAAGGCTGAAGCTTGCCAAAACACGAGACCTCGCCTATCAAGGCAGGCTCGCCTGAACTCTACACTTGGAGAATTTCCCAAGTGTTCCTATAATTCTTCTTTCAAACCTTCTTCGCATGATTGTGTGTTTGGTTCTGCTAACACTGGGGGTTGCCACCATCAACACACGAGGGATCTTAGGAACCATCTGACCAATTCACATTTTCAATGGCGACAAATTTTCTCATCTAATCAAGGGACAAATTAGAAAATAATTAGATTGAAAGGTAAATCTGTTAATAGAATAGATCATCTGAGCGTACATATATAGTTTGAAACAAGCGAAATAGAGAGGAGACACAACGATTCTTAATAGAGGTATCGTCTAACCTATTTCAGGTGCATTCTGCAGTGGGATTTTTTTTAACCATATGGCATATGGTTGTGATATGCGACGGGTTGGATCGGGTCATCACTTGTGTTTCAAGTGAGTAAGAGCATGTTTGGGAAGTATGGATTATTATCTACTTAGCTTATAATCCACAAATTAATGGCTTATAGGCTAGGTGGATTATAACCCAAAGTGATTGGTAAATTTAATGAATTATAATATATTTTCAATAGTAGAGTGCTTAGCAATGAGTAGCTTATAATTTATTCTTCTTGTCAAAATGACAAAAAAGAACATGACTCCAATGGGGTTAGAGATAGAAAGGACTTAAATTTTTCTTAAAGGATGAAGGGCAAACTTGTCTTTTACTGGATCAAACTTGGTGCCTTATAAGCTACCAAAAAACTAGTTTGGTAACCCAACTTTCTTTTTTTTGACTTATGACAGAAAACAATTTATTTGCAATATATGTCTCAGTAGTTTATGAACCACAAAAAATAGTTTATAAACCACATTGATCAGTTACCAAGCATGCTCTAAGTGAGTTTGGCCCCTCCACTCCACTTCACTCACAAATTCAAATGATGCAAATGATGCAGACAAGTCATTATGCAGGGGATTTTGGTGAACGGATGGTGCGATTGCACATAGGAGATGATTCGCCCACACACAACTGAACTAAGGCCCCAATTGCATACCAATTATCAGCAGCAAAAACTGTACAAATGTTATATATTATCATACATACATACACACACAATTAAACACGTACGGTCCAAAGAGAACTACCAGTTGTCTAGTACTTAGCAAGTGACAAGATCAAAGAAAAGAAGCAAGAGAGAAAGAAGGAAAAGAGTAGGAAAGCAACCAGAAGAGAAATGGAAAGGGGAGAAGCATGCATGCATTATCATTCATCATCATATGGTATTATTATTTACCATCATCATCACCCCACTCTTGTGACAAACAGGCACAAGTACAAAACACTACTTAAGAGCACCCCATCACGGCTTCCCCTAAAAGTACTATACAAGTATTATTTGCTCCTCTTTTGGCTTTGCACACTAATTATCATGTGCATGCCCCTCAAGTTTAAATTAAGAACACAGAATCTTGATGAGTCCTTAATTTGTTACAATAATTACGTTCGTCTTGATTCATGCTTTTCTTAATCTTTTTTTTACCATTTCTATTATGGAGGAGAGGAAAACATTTGGATGTACTCAGTACAATATCTCTTGTTTACGTAATAACAAACTCTTATTTGGTAGTAATAATTGTTTGAGATGATATAGTATAGGTGAAAATAGATATATGAAGAGTACGAGATGAAATGACGCGAAAATCAGCATGAAAGATGATTTCAACTTTGAATCCATCAATGAGGTTGAGGTCATCGATGGTGTCTATGAACAAATTACATATTTTCAAAAACAGGAATTCGACCCATCGATGATTTACAGGCGCCCATCAACGATGCTCAGAGATGCATCGATGGTAGTGAAGGTCCATCGATAGTTAAGATGTCAGATTATAGAATTGTTAATATAATCACAACCGTTCATTGAGCTCTTTCATCTCCAACTTTTACTATAATTATAATATCTCTTTCCTGATTAATCAGATGCAATATGAGATTGAAAGAAAGAAATTTGAAAGAGAAGATTCTAAGGTTTTAAAAAGATAGCTTGAAGAGAAAAATTCTAGTGTTTGTTTGAAGAAGATTGAACTAGTGTCTTGAACCCCCGGAACCTCAACCAACTCTTTCTCGTCACAATCATCTTCTTCGAATCATCTCAATGAAGAGAGTTACCCTTGGTATCATCATCCACACCGTTCTTGATCAAGTTTCACTTTGAATCATCGAAGTATTGTTTGTTAATAGAAAAGGATTGTAAGATCTTTCTTACTTTCTGTGCTTAAACTGTATTTGGTTTTTTGTTTCGAACTTGATTTTAGAGCGTACTCAAGGCGATGATAATTGAGGATTGGTAATAGCTAGAGCTAGGTGTTACTCATTGTAAAGAGTTAGGTTAGACAACAGATTTCAGTTAAATTTCAGGGTGTGATCTTTGATTGGCCTACTAAATCGGGTTGTGATTCAGGAGAACTCTTAACGTATTGAAGAAGCCCCTTCGTAAGAAAAGTGGACGTAAGATTATTATCCGAACCACTATAAAAATTTTCATGCCCTTGATTAGTTGTTATTTGTGGTTAATTATTGTTGTTCGCTTTTATTTTACTTACTTCGCTGCATATTCTATATTTTTAACGAAAAACGGTAGCAGCTCTACGCGAAAAAAGTGCAAGAACAAGACACTAACATCGTACCACCATGTTCGGAAGCATAGCATTTCTGGCAGCATGAAGCAAAACATCACACTTATGTATATTAAGAAGCCAAATAAGTTCTTAGATAAAATCTACTAGAATGAACCACTCAGCCTCTCATATCTATATCTATATAAAATGATTACTTGATTATATTCATTCAAATGTACTGGTTCCTGGAGCAACGGGGCCAAAGGGCATGGCAGACTAATCTTAAAATATGAAGATTTGGGGGACAAGTTTCAAAATATGAGATTTTGAGAGACTAACGTCGGGAAGGAAGAAAAACCTTCTGTTTTAGTTATTGTGCACGTAACATACAAGAAATGCAAATGTGAATAGTAGTTAAGTGAAGAAGAGACCAAGTAAAACATGCTCAAAAGAAAGATGAGAATAATAGTCAAGGGGCAACGGCTCTAATGGGACCTTGGCATGAAACAAGCGCTTTGGTCCCCCAAAACAAGTTTTGTATCTTACCATCAAGGGTGCATCACAATAATAGCGTGAGCAAAGCAGTTCAACTTTGCAACGCGTAGTTGAGGGTCGGTCAAACGGAGCTGGGGAGCCGTGCAGAAAAGAAGGGTATTCAAGAATCGTATCACCCTCAAGTCTCAACCACAACAACAAAGCGCTTATTGTAATTGACCAATGCGAATGGTGACTACGCAAGTACGCAAGGTGAGGAGCCAACCACCAGACCCAGTAGTATTCAAAATATATTAGGATACTATTCAGCTGAGAAATTACGCACAAAACCCATAGTAAATCCATAGTTGTTACCATGAATACCAAATACTTGCACTGCTACTTCTCCGTGATTAAACACACCGCTCCTTAATTTCAAAAGCCAAAAGAAACAAAGCACGACTAGAAAAGAAACGGCACTGATACACGCATAGCGACAAAGCAAGCTAACTAGCTCCAAACACAGACAATGACAAGCAGCGAGTCATGTGAATTCATAAGGTGCAAGCGCACGCAACGGTCCAGAAAGCAGAGCAACGCAAATCCAAGAAGCAAAGCGAAGCACCAAGGAATAATATCTGTGTCTCTGACTCTAACGATCTCCATTCATGTCTATTTGATTATAAGCAACATATATGGTTGGGGAAAAAAAATGAAAAGAGAAATAACAGAAAATTTATACGGATGCCTTACAAAAGGAAAAGGAAAGGTCGATGGTTCTGCAACTCCATCAATACCATCTTCATACTCCTAATTAAAAACTAAAACTAAGTTTCATAAGGAAAAATTACAGCAGGCGAATTTGAGAAATATTCACGCTAACACTTTTCCTTTTACCCCTCCGTATCCTCCTCCCTAAAGCCTAATTCCTGACTAATTCCCCTTCCCTACTCTCCTTACATCTGTTATTTTATATCCTGCAAAACGAGGAGAAATTTCTACCCCCAAACCCTAACACGACCTAATTAAAAGCAAATAAAAACCACTAATAACATCTGATGCCTGCTTCTACCTAAATTTCTTAATTTCTAAACATGTAATTAATTATTATTTTTTATGAAGGGGAGAATGTAAAGTGGATGGAGGCAGGCCAAAAACGTCCAGGGCAGAGGCAGAGTGGAGTGATAGCGCTAGGCTACGGAGGAAATGAGAAGAAGCCTGTCCTGGCCTTTGGCCTCTTGTTCATCATCTTGCTCTTGAGGTTCCTTGCTACGCCTCATCTCCATGACTTTGCGATGACTGTTGGAGTGGATGTGACTGATGAAGGTGGGGCTGCATGCGGGGCGGTACTCCGGGAGGAGACGCCCCGACTTGTATCGGACCCCACATGCGTTGCACAGAGTTTTGGCTCCTTCGGGTCCCACTGAGGAGTCTTAGTTAACGCCACCAGTGGCTGCATCGCCTCTTCCCTTTGCACCATTGACGAACTGCTTGCGTCCTCTCTTCTTCTTCTTCTTACTCTTGCTCTTCAACATTGTCGGATTATTTTGAATTCGGCTTTGCTTACTGAGGAACGAGGAGGTGTTCGCAGAAGAAAGAGAAGGAATATGATCGAACAGGTGGTGGGCCAAAATGAAACGGGATGACAGCGATGGTGACGGTGAGGATGATAATGGGGAGGAGCAGGAGGAGGAGGAGGAGGAGGAAGTAGATGTGGGTAAAGCATCGAGGAGGAGAAGTGGGGCCCCTCCGCCCCAGGAGGAGGGCGAGGAGGAGTAACTACAATTGGAGGAGGAGGAGGAAGCAGACAGGGTTCTAGCACGCTTGCTCCTCTTGGACTTCAGTACGGGAGGAGGTTGATGTTGGCGGTGGGTGAGCTTTCTCCACTAATAAATCGGGTGCCTTTCGCAGCGGCCACAGTTGCTTGCTGCTGCCTGCTTGCTGCTGCTGCTGCTCGGTGGTGTCGGGAATTCAGAGAGGGAGTCGTCCACGATGCGTGATACCCATTCCAACTCCGCCCCATCGTGCATCTTTTAATTTGTAACCCATAAACAACAACAACAGAAACACAGAATTATTAGTAACAATACTTGCAACAACTCATTCATCAATATCATTTTCCCGATGAAGGAAAGATTCTTTTTTATATTTAATTTATAATTTTTGGTTGAAGAGAGAGAGAAGCAGAGAAAAAAGAACTACAGAGCGAAAAAAAAAAGAAGAGGAAAGGTAAGTACGGTTACCGGAAGACTGAGTTCAGAAACAGGAGAACAAGAAGGGGTGGCTTCAGGCTCAAAGGAGACATCAGGCTTCTTGTTATCTTCCCCAGCTTCAGCTCCAACAATCTCTTTTCCTCTTTCTTCTTCTTCTCCTCCTTCTCCTCCTCCTCCTCCTTGCCCTAGTCCTCCTTGTTGGGTTTCCTTGTGGCGCTCATCATCACCATCTTCTTCTTCTTCTTCTTCTTCTTCTTCTTCAGTTTCAAGTTCACCGAGGTCCAGCAAATCATCCACCATGAAATCCTCACCACCCAAGAAAAAGCCGTTGCCCTTCTCCACAGCCAAAGCCACCACGTCATCACCAAAAGCATCAGCAATACATGGTTGTTGCTGGTGGTGGTGGTGTTGGCGCTGGGCTTGGCTCTCTCTACGAAACCAAAACTCCATTCTTCACTTTTCTTTTCCTCTCCCTGAGGAAATTAGTTAACTAAGAGAATAAAAGGGAAGGGATGGTTTGGGGGAGTTGTTTAATTAAGGGTTTTAATTTACCGGAGAGGAGTGGGAGAACAACAAGGGGAAAAAGATCTAAAGAGGTGGAAGACAGAGAAGAAGAAAAGAACGAAGGCTAAAATGGCACATAAATAGAACAAATTTTCAAAACAGTCCCCAAGAGATTTTTATTTTTCAAAATCAACCTGATTTTTTTTTATCAAAATCGACCCACTTTTTACCACGTGGGCTTAATGAAGTTCCTAAACAGTCGGGGTTGGCAACCCCGACTGTTTAGGAGGGTGTTAAACCCCAATTAGAACCCTTAAATCCAAAATTTTTATGTACTAAATAGTCGGGGTTAGCAACCCCGACTGTTTAAAAAAGTCATTTAGCCCACGTGGCAAAAAGTGGATCGATTTTGATAAATAAATAAAAACGGGTCAATTTTGAAAAATAAAAAACTTTTTAGAGCTGTTTTGAAAAATTCCTCGACATAAATATCCTAATGTTTTACCATCTACGCTTAAAAGTACCCTAAATTATAAAAAGTAACATAAAAATGCCCAAAGTTATAAAAAAAATTCACATTGCTACCTTCATTTAAATAGATAATAGAATATTTTTAAGAATTTTCTCATATGCATAGTCCACATGGATTTTATTATTATATTACCCATAGTTATTTCTTTAATTATAATTTTACTTATGCCTTTAATTTATTATTAATATTTTAATAGAGGGCATTTTTATCAAAACTAAGGATGTTAGCTTAAATGTAACTGTGAATAACTTAGAGTATTTTTAGCCTATTTTTTATAATTTAAAATATTAAAGTATAAAGATAATGAAACATTAAAATATTTAAGTGCCATTCAGCCTGAAAAAAAAAGAAAACAGTGGTGAAAGCAGAGCATTTTAGTTGGGGGAGCATTGAATGGCTGCCATATATAGTCGTGGGCGTACAAAATGCCCACTGCCACTCAACTTTCCCTCTCTCGTCCTCTCTCCCCGTACGCTTTTTCTTCTTCTTTTTTTTAGTATTTCTTTAATTCATTTATTTATTCAACTCCCTACCCTTTGAACCCTGAAAACACCCCCGCCCCCCCCCCCATCGTCATATATTACTATTGCGCATTAATTTTTTGCTGCCTTCTTCTCAATAATTTACTCTATTTATATTTATAGTCAGGGTTTTACAGAATAGGAGGGGGAGTAACCTTCCTCTTTATTAACTTAGATGATTATTATTATTATTTACTAATATACAAGGAATGATTTACTAATACTCCTAACTATTAACCCAAAAAAAAACGGAAACGGAACACTCCCACAAAACCACACTTTCGGCTCCCGTTTTTTGAAATTTCTCCCCTTTTCGTCTTTACCTCCCTTATTAATTCTCAAGTACAGTTGAACTACCCATACTAATCCTAATTTAGCCACCAAATTACGGAACTAACCTTCCCAAATGTGTAGGGCAAGTGCGCAGCATTTTTTTTGGCATTTCACTTGTCCCTGCTCTGCCCAAAAAATCTATTAGAGTGTGCTACAGATGATAAATTGGTAGATTTAATATCTCTATTTATTTTCTCTGCTTATTCTGTGATATTTTTTTTGTTATATATTCATTTGAGATTATAAGAAAAGTGGGAAATCTTACGACCTGGGCTACGGGTAGGGGTGTTCAAACGGGCCGGTCCTGCCCGGGTTAGGAAAAACCAGGGCCCGTACCTGGTCCGGCTAGGTCTATTTTTTTTTTGTTTTTTTATTTCTTTAAATTTTTAATAATACATAACTAAAAATTAAACAAAATTTTAATAGAAAACAATCATATTATTATTTATTAATCACTGGAAATTACATAATTTGCAATTATAAAAAATTATAAAAATTAAAATGATAAAAATAACTTCTTTATTAATAATCAGTAAATCATTTATAATTATAAATTTATTTTGAAATTCATCGCATCACAATAGATGAGTACATCCCAACTAGATTGCACCTACTCATCTATATCACTGTCATTTGCAACTTTTTTTAAAATAATTTATTACAAATTTTCAGTTAAGAAATAAAAAATTCAATTTGATGAATATTGTTTACTCTTTATATCTATCTGCTAGTCTCAACTCTTCAAATTTATCTTCAATATCAGCCATCCAATCGATGCATTGTGTTCTCTTCTCGTACTTTCACCAATCTTGTAAGCATATTATCGCATGTACAGTATACAGATCTAACGATAAGTTGTGGTCGTCGACCAAACGTCATGATGTGCTGAAGGCAGATTCTAAAGCTACCGTAGAAACCTGCATTGTTAGTAAGTCACGAGCCATGATGGAAAATATATGATATAAAATTGTTCCATATACTTTTCACCATTGCAAAATATCTAAACTATTATTTTGACATTTAACTAAAGATACAGTTAAACATTGATCAATTTCAGAAACCTCCGTTGATGATCCAAGTCCAGATCCACCATTTAGTTCAGCTACCATTGATTCCCTATCAAAACTCATACTTTTTTTTCCGACTTGAGCTCGTAGAAGCAAAAGCTGTAGACTGATGTGTAGTTACACCATATTTAGCTGCATACTCATCATATAATTTTTGAAAATAATTTCTAATTGTATTATGATGAGTAATAGCAGTAATGGTATGACCATCATCAGTCTCTATAATTATATTACCATACAAGGAATTTAACAAACTTTGAAGGCTAATATCCTTCAAACACGGATCAATAAGAACCCCCAAACCAAAAATAATAGGAATAGGCCTAAAACATTTATTAATTTATTTTTTATTTAAAAATTATATTTTTAAAATAATTATCCATACGATATTTATTAAAAAATTGAATATTTAAAACTTGTAAAGCAGCTAAAGTAATGGTTGGATAATAATAGCCAGATAATAACATTGTAGCATCATAAAAAAAAACTTATAACATCTCTTTTGAATTACTTATAACTATCCATTCATCCTCAGTTATTCCATACATGCTACTAGAGCTAGAACTAAAAGTATAAAAAGCAATAAAATCATTTATAATTTCTTTATATTCTATTGCTACACTTAACATTGCATAGGTGGAATTTCACCTATGGTCAACATCATTTGGAATTAGTCTGAGTTTAAAAAAAATTACAGAAATGTTTTTATAATTTAATTCTTTGTTCAGAAGCATTATGAGCATAAACTACTGACCTAACCTTGTATATCATGAGTTTAATTTCACAAAATGCACTTTGAACAATTAAATTTAAAAATATGACAGACACATCTAATATGAAAAAGATCACCATGACATGGTAATAGCAGAGATGTTTTGATATAATCAACAGCTATATTATTATTACTTGTATTATCTAGTGAAAGAGAAAATATTCTTTCTAAAATTTCTAATTTTATAAGTTCTTCAATTATTAAATTTGCAATATTAATACCAGTATGTAACTCTTCAAATACAATAAAAGAAATAACTCTTTTAAATATTTGTAAATTAACATCAATCCAGTGTGCTATGATACATAAATTATCAGTTTGTGTTCTAAATGTCCAAATATCAGAAGTTAAAAAAAATTTACAGTTTAAACTTTAAAAATAAAAAATTATTTTTTCTTGTTCTTCCTAATAATATTTTAAAATATCACGTTGACAAGTTTGACGAGAATTTTTTTAAATGCGGGATAAAAACCATCTGTAAATAAATTTTCAAATTCATCATCTTCTACTAATTTAAAAGGAAGATTTTTAAGAATAATAAATCTGATGACGCATTTCCTGCCTCGGTCTGTGTCATAATTTCAACTACTGAGACTACTAGAAGATGAGGATTGGGAGAGTAAAGATTGTCGGCTATCACTTAAAGGCGTTTGACCTTTGTTGTGTTTATCTAAATGGCATTTGAGATGGTTGTGTTAGACCCTAGAGGGGGGTGATTAGGGTCTTATGCTAATTTAATCCGATTTAAATGCCAATTAAAAACTAATTAACAAGTTATCCTAGCAAGTATGAAATACAACAATGTATATGAGCTAGGATAAGCAATATGAACAACAAGATATATCCTAACAAAGAGATATATATGCAAGGATATATAAACTAAGGGTGATATAAACATAAACAAGATAAACAAGATAGTGGACAATGTGAACAATAGATAATGGCGACAAGAATGATATGAACAATAAGCACAAGTGAGACGCCAAGACAATCACAAACACACAAAGATGATCACGGAGTTCGGACCTTCCGTCCTACGTCTCCGCTCCCCACTCCCGGGGAGAAATCCACTATCAACCGGGTTTTCTACGTTCACCCGAACAACGTTTACACCTCACACTCGGTTTTCTAGCTAACCGAAAACTTTACAATCAACACACTATTGTAATCCCACTCTACACCCACTAAGTGTTGGACCTAGCCGTGTCTCCCTCAAGTGCTCGGTTACACCCTCTCCCTAGGCACGTCAACCGATGCCACTCCTCTTGGGACGATCTCCGACTCTCACCACACACTCCTCACTCGGTGTACAAGTGTATTACAAAGTGAATCTCACAATAAGCACAATATAACAAATGATTGTTCTCAACTATGGATGAGAACACAATTAAGCACAACTCAAAGTTACAAACTCTCACCACCCAACTATACTATGTATGTAAATACTAAAAGCTCAATGTGGGTGTGTGTAACAATGAGGAAAATAAAATCTAACTCAAATAGCAAACTAGCAATAATTAATATATGATAAATCAATAATGAAATTGCTAGGAAAAAGAGTTAGAAAACTTCTCTATAAACACAAAGAGAGGATGAGAAGATTTTGAGGATGAAATCCTCAACTGGTGATGCAAACTCCTCTTTGTAACAGCAAACCCCAAAAACAAACTAAACAAACTCAAACCCTTGTTTAAAACTTTCTTAAACTTGTTTTTAAAACTCTCTTAATAATTGAAAAGACATCAGCAATGGGGTATATATACCCACTAGAAATCTCAGCAAAAAAACCCCCAAAACAAATGACAAAACAGCCCCCAGAGAAACAGCTCAGAAATAGCCGTTAGTAGCCAACGGCTATATTGTCGGTC